GTCATTTGTCAACTTTGGTCTTTGTTTAAGCTTTAGCATTAAAGGTTGGTGGTGATATGTTTTTCTTCAAGCAATTCTAACCTGTAATCCTCATCCTAACTACCATATCAGCCACTGCCTTGCATGCCAATGTTTTTGTGCAGTACTTGAAATGTTGACTCAGGTTGACTTTAGAGTTAACTAAAAAATAATTAGTTGTAGATGAACCTTCAGTGAATATTTTCTGAGAGTTTTATTAAAGCTTGTTCATGAGATATTTTGCAGACAGAGAGTCAAACAAATACATTCACAGGCATGCCTTTCTTGGAAGCAGGTGACAATGACTCACAAAACCAGTAAAAATCCATGGAATAGGAAGACTGAGCAACTGGTTTCTTGGTTTTCCTTCTGTTCCTGAAGACCGGCTCTCAGAAACTCTGAGAATAACAAGTTAAAACACAGAAAACAGGCAAAACTGGTTGCATCTGGAATACGATTGGCCCTAACATCAAGGCACACACAAAAAAAGGTCTGAATCAGTTAAAATTGCCAGAGGCAATATCAGTTTGGGTTTTACAGAACTTTTAATGAAACCATTCTGAACAATGTTACTGCAGGAAAAACCAGCAAATGTGAGTTATGCTGAGTCAGCTTTCTGTGGATTCAGTCTGCGATTGAAGTTCAAATAGTGCTGTTGACTCAGATTATTGGTTTCATGTGTGTTTATCTGCTGAACACAAAGCACTAATTGTTCTCTCTGTTGCACTGCAGTGACGTTTTGCAATATATTTATTTTCTGGAAAGTGGTTCTTTGCCTTTGAGAATGACTCAAAAAGTAAATCAGAAAGGTTTTCTTCATCTTGTGGATAATACAGGAATGTCGGCATACGTTAAGGTTGGAAAGATTAGTGAAACAATAGCAATAATACACAGGTATGAAGGTGTGGCCTCAGCTGAACGCCTGCCAGACCCACCTGTCTCCCTGCCCCACCTGTTGGAGGGAGGAGGAAATGATCAAAAACTGGTGGTTCAGATCAGCCATCAGTCAGTCGATGCTGGGTGTCTGAAACACCCTGAGAAACCATACAGTACTTTGTTTTCCACTTGAAGAGAGAATATTTATTTGGAAGTCACACAGGTAGGAGCAGTTTCATAAAAAATGTCCAAAAGGACCAGGGTCAGAGGAATGTTTAGGTTTACAGCTCTATATTCTTTTTAGTGTGTTGTTTTAATATGTATGAACCATGCAAAAGTTTTGAACCAGTGGGGGGGGGGGGGGTTTGGGGGGGGCTTTAATAGAGGCACTTGTTTTTTAAAATCAGTTTACAAACTGCATATTGAACTATTGGGGGAGAATGATCAAACCAGTTTTTAGTGTGAACACACATCAGTTCTTATTGTATGCATAAAATGTTAGAAAACGTGTAAGACCGTAGCAGTATAACTTGTCTTTAAATCTACCTTTTGCTGTGTCACTGAGTTGTCTCCTGTATAGCAAAGTTTTAAAAACTCATCTTCCATTTTCAGTTAAATAAACTCATTCAAGCCAATATTAAATAAAAAAATTAATGTATGTCCAGAACTACTCAAATGATGCAGTTTTAAAAGAGTTTCCTTTCGTAGCTTTCCACGTATTTGGAAAATTCTGAATTGCAGGTACATACTCAATGTAAACAAAGTACTTGGCTGAATACATTGAAAACCATGTGAAAGCTTCAATGGTGATGGACATACATCAGGCTAGTCATAGTCTGTGAAGGTAAGCCAATATGGCATACTCAGACACACGAAGACATTAAGGTATACATAAAACATGGAAATATAATGTGAAAATAAAAAAACTATATGTACTAGACATTAACACATAAACATAATATAACCCCTGGCAAAAAGTATGGAATCACCAGTCTTGGATGAGCACTCATTCAGACATTCCATTCTGTAAAACAAACTCAGATCAAAAACATGATACAATAATAAGGTCATTCCAAAGTGCAACTTGTTGACTCTTCAACAAAGAAATGAAGAGAAAACATTGTGGAAGTCAGTGAATGTTACTTTTATTGACCAAACACAGGGAAAAAAATATGGAATCACTCAATTCTGAGGCAAAAAGTATGGAATCACTCAAATTGGAGGTAGAAAATATGGACACACTCACTCAATTTCCTTTCCCTAAATGGACACCTGCCTCAAATTAGATCTGCTCATAATGATGCGTTCACACCGAACGCGATTTCAGCGTCAGGAGCAGCAGGTTTACATGCAAAGTCTATGGTGGAGGCGCTTCAAGCAGCGTCGGGAAGTTCTGCGGCGCCTCAAGCGCGATTAGAGCAGCGCGATTTGAACGATTTGGACGATCTGAGCGTCGAACGCTCAGATC